TCTCATTTCCCATGAATAATGAAGGTATCTACTGGTGATCTCAAGGCAACACAGAAGCTTCAAAAATTGATTGTGAACTGACTTTTTAGAAATATTTATTTGAGGCCGGCGCCGTGGCTCACTAGGCTAATCCTCCACCTGCAGCACTGGCACTCCGGGTCCTAGTCCCGGTGGGGGCGCTAGATTCTGTCCCGGTTGCCCCTCTTCCAGTCCAGCTCTCTGCTGTGGCCCAGGAGTGCAGTGGGGGATGGCCCAGGTGCTTGGGCCCTGCACCCCATGGGAGACCAGGAGAAGCACCTGGCTCCTGCCTTCGGATCAGTGCGGTGCGCCGGCCGCAGCATGCCGGCTGCAGCAGCCATTGCGGGGTGAACCAACGGCAAAGGAAAACCTTTCTCTCTCTCACTGTCCACTCTGCCTGTCAAAAATAAAAATAAAATATATATTTATTTGAGAGGCAGAGAGACAGGCAGACAGCTCTCATTCACTAGTTCACTCCCAAATGCCTACATTAGATGGGGCTGAACCAGCTGAAGTTGGAGCTGGGAACTCAATCCAGGTCTCCAGTGTGGGTGGCAGGGACTCAACCAGTTGAGCCATCACTGCCACCTCTCAGGATCCACAGAACCAGGAAGCTGGAGACAACAGTCAGAGTTGGGACTTGAACCCAGGCACCCAATGTGGTCTTAACTGGCATCTTAACTGCTAGGCTAATGACTTGCTGATTTTTTTTTAGCAGGAAACTGGAGGAGGAAATGTATCAAAACAAAGGTGGCCCGTTGTGATCTTGATCTGCAACTCAAACACCCCAAAGAATGGTTGGACCCCAAGGCTGGGTGTGCTCTGTGGCCTGGAATTGCTTATCCACCTGCTCCTGTTCTGAAGTTTGTAGGTCAGGGTTTTCGTTACCACTTGAAATTTCCAGCACTTTTGTGGTCACCCAGAATAGTAGAGTGAGATACAGAAGTCCAATTTGGTGTCTTAAAGGTGTGTTCAAATGTGTGCAAATCTTCTAAAAAGAGGCCAGGAGGATAGATCTCAATCAGTAACACGAAAACAGAGCTCAGGTTGCAGAATGGCACAGCTGCTGTCGTTTATAGCTCGGGTTTGGCCTGCTGTGATGGGCACCATTTGTTGAGCTCTTTCCAATTCCTTCTTCTCTTGCCTAGTGTTTTACTCCTATGTGCAACTCTAATCCTCTGTATCTGTCTTTGCAGGCAGGATTCATTACAGGGTATAACTATAAAATATAACTTGGCCCTAATATAAGGGAACTTCAAAAAGTTCGCAGAAAGTGGAATTACATGAGAAGTTTATCTTGGGATAAAAATTTTGAAATCCAAACACAGTTTTTTTCATAATACCTTTTTCCATGAACTTTCTGATGACCTTTCACATAATGCTCTAAAATGAATTTCATATAATACTATATACACTTCTCTTTTTTCTTTTTCAGAAGAGTGTTTGCAAAGCAAGGTTTGCATTAGTAAAAATAATTTATTTCTAGAGGATTATCTCATTTCTTGAGTCATTTTTCTAATTATTGTAAACATTGTTGTTCTCCTTTGCTATTTAATTGATTCTGAGATCATATTACACTTCTCCAATATCTGGCTCTGCCTCGACTACCTGTGCCTAATTTTGAACTTGGACGCTCCACATTTGGATGCTTTTTGGAATGTGATCTATTCATTTCTTTCCCCTGTTGAATCCATTCTCACTAAAATTGCTACAGGTCTCTTCTCTGCTGTTCCTGTCTGCTTTGTTTTCTCTATAAAAACCTCTTTTTGTTACTCAGTGGAAGCTATCACCTGATAGTTAAATGAGCCTTCTATTGTGAGGCACATTAACTGCTAATTTAATCCAGCAAGGGTTTGAATGGAAAGTCTCTATCCAAGCCGCTCCCAGGAAAAGGAGAGAAGCAGCTGGCACTGGGGCAGCCTTGGTGCCCCTGGTACAGACAGAAGCCCAGGAGAATTCGTATCCCATCTTCATTGTGGAATTTGCTGTCAAGGCTGCTTTCCCCTCTCACCCCCACTGGAACGATGTGTCCCAGACTCTGATCCCAGGAGAGACATTCCTCTAAAATCACCCCTGGCACCCCGATCTTCGAAATGTGCTGAGGTAATTAGGGAGGTTTCCTAGTGTTTCTTTCAGCTGTGAATCAAGGTTTAGTAGAAAGAAATATGTGAACGTACTGAAAATGATGCCAGTCGTGACAGCCCGCTGCTTGTCTCCTCTCGGGCTTCTCAGGGGTTGGCTGTTCTCTTGATTAGGCAGCAATGCATGACCGATGTCTAAAATATTAAAGCAAAAAAGTTTGTCTGCAATCTTATAATTAATCTTTTTATGAGATGAAATTCATATGTAATGAAATACATATATGATAAGTGTATAATCTCATGAGTTTGACAATGTATTCATTTGTTTAATTTCATCTTAATGAAGCTGGGCTTATAAAATTTAGTATATTATGTTGGAATACAACAATAGTCATGAAATTATACTTGGTGAGAATCTGTTTCTCCACAGAGGAAATATAGGAGGCAGCAGGAAAAGACCTTGTAGAAGACAAATAAAACATCTTTTTTTTTTTTTTAAGATTTCCTTATTTTACTTGAAAGAGCTACACAGAGAAGGAGAGGCAGAGAGAGAGGTCTTCCATTCATTGGTTCACTCCTCAATCGGTCACAACAGCAGCAGCTGTGCCAATGAGAAGCCAGGAGCCAGGAGCTTCCTCTGGGTTTCCCATGCAGATGCAGTAGCTCAAGGGCTTGGGCCATCTTCCACTGCCCTCCCAGGCCATAGCAGAGAGCTGGACAGGAAGTGGAGCAGCCGGGACTCGTACCGGCACCCTCATGGGATGTGGCACTGCAGTCCGTGGCTTTACAGGCTAAGACACAGTGCCGGACCCAAAACATCTTCTGAGTGTAGATTATGCCAACAAAAACGTGTGAGCAGCCACTAGGGGATGAGACTTAGATGGAGAGTGAGTGATAGTGGAGGTCATGACATGAGGTACACTGTCATTCGAAAATCACATGACACATTGCGGTCTGTTCATTTGGGAATATTTGGACTAGTGTCTTTTGAATGTCATCTGATGTTACTGGCTTTTATTATAACAATATAATATTTCTTAAAAAATACGTGAGCCCAAAAATGACCCTGAAAGTCTAGATTTTGCATATCCAAGAAATGTAGTCAGAGACCTGGGGTAGGAACAGGACATGAACCTGCCCACCTGGGATCTTCGTCACTTGAATTAGACATAAAACCCACAAATCCCCAAAGTGGAGACACTATCAAAATCAGAAGAAATGGGATGGGGGATGGGGCAAGGAGAACTCAAGTAGACCTTGAGTTTCTTGTTAAAAACTCCTGTCTATTAAAAAAGAAGTCAGACAGAGCTCATAGAAATCCAGGACCTGAGGTCATTACCTTCTTTCCATAAAATAAGAAAATGTAGATGACATATAGAAATAGCCCCAGGGGAAGCTATTTATAATCCCCTCAGGTAGGACAGAGATCCGTGTGACAACCTTGCTCCGTCCTTTCTAGCTTGTTTCTCCCTTCTCCATAATATTGTGTGAGGAAGTTGTTGTCGTTTGTTTACTTTGTACTTAAATCTGTTCCCCAGTTCAATTTGTCATTGCCTGTCTCTCTTGGTTGTTTTCGCTTGAACCAGTCAAGCCTTTTATGTGTTATTGTTTTCCATTCTGGGTTTCCATGCCTTGCTTTACTTAATATATATTCACTCAGTAACTTCTAGCAACTGGGCCCTAGACCCTGTGCTAGGAACTGGTTGCCTTTATGTGTTTAAAGGGAATGTTGTATTCAAGGAGCCTACAGTCTAGTGGGAAAACAAAACAAAACAAAACAGATAAACAAGGATATAGTCAACCCCTTGTCTGCAGCCAGCACTGGGCTGATTAACTCATTCTTACACAGAGTCTCATTAAATCCGCTGGAAAGGCTTCCAAACAGGTGGATGATATTGTCTGTGTTTTACAGTTAAGGGAATTAAGCCTCAGAAACACGAATTTTTCCTAGGAGACATGGTTTACCACTGGGAAGCTAAGCCTTAAGGTCAGCCTTGCCTGATTCCAGACTCTTTTTTTTCTAAGACGTATTTTATTTATTTGAAAGGCAGAGGGACAGAGGGAGAGGGGAGAGATAGAGTAAGAAAGAGATTCTTTCATCTGCTAGTTTATTCTCCAAATAACCACTACGTAGCCAGGAGCAAGGAGCTCTGTCCAGGTCTTACAAGTGGGTGTCAGGGTCCAAGGAGCTGGGCCATCTTTCTCAGCTTTCCTAGGCACATCAGCAGGGAGCTGGATCGGAACTGGAGCACCTGGGATTTGAACAAGCACTTTGACATGGGATGGCAGTGTTGCAAGTGACTGCTTAACCTGTTGCACCACAACGCAGCCTCTGATTCCAAAGTCTTCCTTATTTTTTCTTGCAATGTAATCATTGCTGCAATAGAGGCATCTTTCTTTCATTATCATTCATTATAATTATAGTCAATGAACGTAAATTAGTGTGTGTTTGTAGCAGGATGGATAGAATTATAAGTCTGATCCTCCCACTAAGAGAATGAGATATGCTTACAGAGCTTTACAAAGTCAATTTTTCTCTGCTTCTTCTGAGTCACTCCATTAATGTAAACGTTTTTCTTCTTCAACCTTCTTCTGCTTCCAAATGAGATGAGAGTGTTGCTGCTTTAAAGAAACTGTTATGTCATAACGAGTACTCAAACAGTACTCTATACCTTGTATTTTCTGTGTGGGTGCAAACTGTTGAAATCTTTACTTATATACTAAATTGATCTTCTGTATATAAAGATAATTGAAAATGAATCGATGTGAATGGGATGGAAGAGGGAGTGGGAGATGGGAGGGTTGCGGGTGGGCGGGAGGTTATGGGGGGGGGAAAAGCCACTATCATTCAAAAGTTGTACTTTGGAAATTTAAATTTATTAAATAAAAGTTTAAAAAACTTGTTAGGTCAACCATTAGACAAGGTTATTATCAGAGATGCGATTTTTTTAATCCAGTTATTTGACAATTCCATGAACTCTCACTTAACATTAAAATACAAAAAAAAAGGTCAAAAAACAAAAACATAGAACTCTGAATGAGAGCTATCTAAAATAAATTGCAAGTAAATCAAATTCAGCATTTGGGTGTGTCTAATCCAATTCATTTTCCCCACCAGTGAAATAAAAGTAAATATATTTCTGAAGTTCAACTAACATGTTTGCGAAGAATTCTTCAGTGAAATTTTAACTATTAGTATCCAGTGATTACCGTGTACATTATATTCTTTAATCTTCTTAATCATGTTCTAAGGTAATTAATGCTATCCCCATTTTTCAGATGAGGGAACTGAGGCTAAGAGATCATACCCCAAACAAGGAAGCAATAAATGACAGATCCAGAAAATTAACCCAGATCTATTTATCCTCAAAGCATAGGCTTTTACCTGTGTGTGCAGTGTGTTTTGAGATGATGATGATAGCCACAAAAACTGACAATTATAGAGTGCCTACTGTGCATCAGAGCCTGTTTTAAAGGCTTTGAATCTATCAAGTAAATTCTCATCCTCAAGGAGTCACACACTGCTATGACTCACATGTGTTGGCCTGGTAGAAAATCAGATGTGTTATTAATTAGTCATTTCTTCAATTTACAGTCCTTAATCAGAAACCATGAAACACGAATGCTTAGAGTCATTTCATGCGGCATGTATATATTTAAATTTATTTCAGTGTGGAAAATGATTGACTTTCTAATCTAATGTAACTTCACTTTATGATGACATTCACCATTCAAGAAATTATAAGGAGAAATCTTAAAGGTTTTTTACTCAAAGTCCGTACATTATCAGCCTTTAATAATCTCTTCAAAGTTGCTCTTTCTATAACAAGGACAAATTCCATCATTTAATTTAGATTTTAAAAGCTGTGTAAGCCACATTGAAGTGGCCTTGTTCAAAGTTTTCTGAACAATGATCTGGCAGTGCACACTGGGAACAGGATAAACAGTGGGTTCCTGTTCTGTATTTCCTGCAGATTATTGCTGTGTTCTTAGTTCTCTCAGTATCACTGATCATTAATTGTTAGTTGTAGAGGAAAGAGCCAACTACTTTTACTATATTTAAAGTCAGAAATATCCCAATGATTCAGTTCCCAAGATTTCAGGCATTTGGGCCCTATTTTTCATGATAATTTTTACTCCACTGGGAAGTGAAAATGGGCTAAAAACCCAATATCACACTGTTGTCAAGGGCCCATTCTTTCAGAACATCTGAAACTCTTGTGCTTGTTATCTTAATGGCAGATCCAATAGTCTAGTGCTGTCTTGCAATCAGCCTGATGTGATAAAGTCGTTCTTAGATGATTGTGGTAGTTAAGTTCAAGTAACAGATGACCCCCATACAGCCATTCAACCAGCTGAGTCCTTGCTTCAAACCACAAGAGCCCAGGGCCAGGCACCCCAGGGGGGCCTCAACTCTTCCCCATGAGCCTGGCCTCCCAAAACTGCTTCTGCCCTTCTATCAGCACTAAGAGGAGCAGTGCAAGGTTAAAGGGCATAGGACAAAGAGTCACCTTGTCAGGAGGGAGGCTTTGTGTGGTCCTGTGTGTGAAGCTGTTAAAAAGTGTGTTGCCTGTACTCTGCTGGTTGGGACAAGTTACCAGGAAACTTGGGGTGGTAAGTTAGGCCTATTGTCAGCAGTGTTGAGAAAGGAAGAAAGCAAAAGTGGTACCATGGGAGGCAGAGAGCAGGGTCCACCATCATTGGGCCATGGAATTTATTTATTTTAAAGAGCAAGGAGGGTGGAAGCAGTGACCTGAGTATAAAATAAAACGTATCAGGGAGAAATTGCAGCTGAAAATAACCATCCAAGGAATACTTGCTGAGAAACGGAGGGCACTTGTTCAAAGGAGGAAATGTGTGTACTTACTGCTTAGGGATCAACTCCTCACCCACTGCCTGAACCCATGCCGCCCATCACTGCAGGCCCTTCATACCCAGCCCAGGAGCCAGTCCAGTTCTGTCTCCACCCCAAAGGTCTGGACAAAGGTCCACCCTCCTTTTCCTGTGAAAATGAGACCTCATTACTCATTTGTTAACAAACCTCTTGCAACCTCCTTCTTTCTAAATTTCCTTTTGTGCCTGGGACTATCGTCGCTGTTTTTAGCAGACTGACTTTGCTTGTTGAAGCATTCCCTTCCAAACTTCTGTTATCATGGTATACATGAATGGGAGAATACTGCGGGAAACAGCTGAAGTTGCTAAAGCCGGAGGTGACTGGTCCAGAGACTCCAGCTACCCTAGTCTTCACCTGGCCCCAGAGAACTGGGGGAATTAGTATGGTGGCAGCACATGGCACCCACTTCAGCCACACAGATAAGAGGTGGGACAGGTCTGGATTACAAGATAGATGATGGGCAAGGAGAGAGGTGCCTTTCTCTGAAGGGAGAAAGGAACCTCCACTGTGATACGGCCTTGACTAAACAAGTTCAGAGTTGGTGAACTCAAGAGGCTTCCATAGCCTAGACAGCTCATAGCAAGAGTCTCGGGTGATTGCTGACATCATAAATAAGAGTGCCAGTTGTTAAATCAACAATGGGAGTCACTGGGTTCATGCTCCCCTCACAGGATCTCTGTCCTTAATATGTTTAACTATGAAACTCAAAAACAACACTACTAGTCGAACAATGCCCTATACCTGGTTCGGTTGTGTAAGTGCAACCTGTTGAAATCCCTGCTTAGTATATACTAAGTTGATCTTCAATATATGAAGGTAATTGAAAATGAAACGTGATGAAGGGCGGGATGGGAGAGGGAGTGGGTGAGGGGAGGGCCGCGGGAGGGAGGGAGGTCGGGAGGGAAGCCACAACAATATATAAGATGCATTTTGTATTCTACTTAAAACTATTGGTTGAACTCTGTAATTAATACACAATTACTCTTAGGTGTTTAATGCTATAACTAGTACTCAAATAGTATTTTACACTTTGTGTTTCTGTGTGGGAGCAAAATGTGGAAATCTTTACTTAACATACGCTAAATTGATCTTCTGTATATAAAGATAATTGAAAATTAATCATGATGTGAAGGGGAAGGGGAGAGGGAGTGGGAGAGGGGAGCGTTGTGGGTGGGAGGGAAGATACGGGGGGGGGGGGAGGCTATTGTGGTCCATAAGCTGTACTTTGGAAATTTATGCTCATTAAATAAAAAAAAAGATAGATGATGGGGAAGATATTCAAATATTCAGCTTCTGAAGGTTCCCATTTCCAACCTGCACTCATTTAGAAAGAAATTTTTTTGTACACTTAATATAAGAAGTATATAGTTCCTTTGAAACCTTGAATGCTGGTCAACCGTTCTTTGTTGTTCTTTATTCATTCTTCACTTTTTTGAGTTTCCATGACATTTTTTTCTAGCATTTTGAGTATTATGTATGTGTGGCACTGTCCTTGCAAAACTAAAATTTTGTGCTAATATTTAAGGAAATGTGCCATAGATTGTTGGGTTAATTAGTTCATTTTTAGAATACATCAGAAAAGGTATTTTTCATGGAGTGCCTTGGTGATTTCAGAGTGTTTTGCACGTTTACAAAGAGCATGTGCAAAATACTGTATCTTATGACAGTCTTGGGCTGTAACAAGCATAGGGATGCTTGTTACACGTCGTGAAAGAAGGCACTGCACATCAACATAGCAAAGACCTGTCCCCTTGCTGCTCCAAACTTCAACTCCTGCTCTGTGGCTGAGGGTGCTCAGACTCCCCTTTCCTCTCCTCCTGACATCACCTGGCCCTTTGATAGGAAACAAGATTGCAAATATCCCAGCTTCTCATCAGTGTGTGTAACTAATGTGCAATATGGATATAAGAAAAGGTTTCATACCATGGAAATGATGACAATGTGACCAGGTAGCATTGGTGGGGACACTTCCTGCTTGCCTATCCACTCATAAACTGTATTATAAAGAGCATTAGATATAGCTTGAAGAGAACTAAGTGCTTTAGCTGTCTAGCAATAATGTACCACCAAATATATACTTCTCTTGGCAAATCAGAAGAAATATTTATCAGGGATGTCATCCTGAGGGATTAATACTCCAAAATAGAGTGTCACATGGTGCTACGGAAAGTCGGAACAGGTTGTATGAGAGCAGAGAACTGACTTATTTCAAAACTATTTTAGAAGATAAATGACAATTATTAAGATTATAAAATATATATCCTCAGGGGGGAAAAAGTCTCCCTCTGAAGACATCTTTCAGACCAAGTATGTAACTACAAAGCGATCTATTTCAGAGAATCATCTTGGTTGGAAACAGCTGCCTAGTTAGAATACACAATGTTTTTGCTTTTTACATGATCAGATACTTGTTATTTCACAAGATCTGATAAATATGTAACAAAAGTGTACTGTGCGGATTAAAGCCCTATGAAGAATTTATTTTAATTATATATTCAAGACTCCACATTCAGGCACAAATACAATGTATGTGTGGGGAATCCAGGATCAGGGACAAGCAGGAGATTATGGGTTGTAAAGATACATTGAAGCAATCACTCAAATAGGTGCACCTGAGTTTGAACTTGGAGGGAATGAGGGAATGTGATGCTTAAAGAGTTGAAAATGAAAAATCTGGATGGTGGAGGTCCTTCAGCTGAGAGCCCACGCACACAGCACTAACTGCTGAGCAGAGAGGGAAGGTGTTGCAATCAGAGCAGCAGACATACCAAGACCCTGCATGTGGCGCATTCCAGGGAGTGGACGAAGGCCCCCAAGAAGCTGGAGTGAGAAGCAGGGTATTGAAGGTGAAGGTGGAGATGCTGGAAGATACCACCTCATGGAAGGCCTTGGATAAAGCCACTTTAAGAAGGCTTATCTTAACGATTTGATATCAAAATTAGCAACTGTTGCATAAGCTTACTTCAAATAGAAAACAAGTATCATGAGAAAGTAAGTTACAATTATAGAAACAGAAGTATGTTTAAGGAACATATGAAGGGACAGCTATGGTCTAGTGGTTAAGATGTCCATGTCCCTGAGTTCAGTCCCTGAGTTCAGTTCCCAGCTCGGCTCCAGATTCTTGCTTCCTACCAATGCAGACCCTGGGAGGGAGCAGATAAGGGCTCAACTGAGATCCTATAACCCATGTGGGAGGCCTGGATTGAGTTCCTGGCTTCTGGCTTTGGCTCCAGGGCCCATTTCTGACCACTGAGGAGTAAACAAGCAAAAGGGGGAAGTGCTCTCTCTCGCTCACTCTCTCCCTCTCTATTTCCCTCACTGGTTCTTGAATATATTTTTAAAAATACATATGGAGCTCAGGTACCAAGTTTATTTCTTTTAAAAACTATTTATTTATTTGAAAGGCAGAGTTACACACGGAGGGAGAGGGAGAAGCAGAGGGAGAGAGGGAGGTTTTCCACCCACTGGTTCACTCCCCAAAGGGCCTCAATGGCCAGAGCTGGTCCCATCCAAAGTCAGGAGCCAGGAGCTTCTTCCAGGTCTCCCACATGGTTGCAGGGGCTCAAGCACTTGGGCCATCTCCCACTGCTTTCCCAGGCACATTAGCAGGGAGCTGGATTGGAAGTGGGGCAGCTGGGACCCAAACTGGTGCCCATGTGGGATGCCAGCACCACAGGTAGAGGCTTAACTTGCTGCATAACAGCGCTGGACCCACTAAGTTTATCTTTTAAAAATATTTATTTGTTTGAAAACAGCATGATCTAGAACGAGAGAGGGAGACAGACAGGACGCTTCGACCAACTGGTTTACTCCCCAAGTGGCCACAACATCCAGGGCTGGCCCAGGCTGAAGCCAAGAGTTAAGAGCTTCTTGCTGGTCTGCCATATGGGTGGCAGGGTCCCAAGGACTTACTCCATCATCGGCTGCCTTCCCAGCTGCATTAACAGGGAGCTGGTTCAAAAATATTCAGGTGACAGCTTAAACTGCTGTGCCACAGCACCAAGCCCTCGGCATTAGGTTAAAAAATAGATTGAACTAGAAAATTCAGTTTTAACAAAGGTCTCAGGAAGTTATTTCTCTAGATCTCTTGCATTAGATAATTACTCTTTAAGCTCTTGTTAAAACTTTTTTGACTTATTTGGTAAGGTCCTGTCCCAGATAGCATACTGCTACATGTGATGGCCAATCAGCCTCTAAAGACACAATCGCTCAACATTGATAACCAGGTGGTGTACATAACTGGATGTATGATTTGACAAGCTTCAAATAATTACACTGCCAAATGTACATTAGTGGGCCTGCTGAATATAGTACAAGCCTGAGCAAAAGCACAGATATTTGAGTTAATAGGGGACTTAAGGTCCAGTTCCTTCACCTACACTTTAGGGCAGGACTGGACAGGGTTCCCATGACTAACCTGAACTTGCTCTCAGCGTTCCTTCCCCCATTCCGTGCGTGTATACACTGCTCAGCATGCAGCAGACTGAGCCTCTTGGATTGTGTCCTGGTTGATATTTACGAAGCGCATGATGCTACGAAGCATCACTGTTTTCTTGCATATACTTCCCTTTGTTGAGGGTGGTAGAAGACGACAAACAGAAAAAGTGTTCTTTGCTTAATCAAGCCTTTGTTTCTCACGAGCCTGCCTGACTCCAGTGACGCAGCCCTGCGGTAGCCAGCATTACCTGATTTTCATAGTCCCCACGGAACGAGAACCTGACCACCTTTTCAATGCATCTTGGAAACTCCTGCCATTCTTTCAGACTGTCTTGCTCCCTCTCCCTAAGCACCAAAACATTCGACCAAGAGAATGATGCATTGTTCTCCTGGAATATTAGACAATGCTACTCAACTGACCTGGGCCACAGAAGTCGTCAAACATTTACAGGGCAACTCACTTTTCAAAGGAATTTAGTGGGAGGGGGAATGCACTCTAGAAAACAATATTCCTGGGAAAACGACATTCACTTCCTTCCTACTGAGATCCTCTGGAATAATGGGAAGTGATGAGGAATCAATTGAGTTCTCTTGGGAAAAAACATTTGAAACAACACACAAAGAAGCCCTCAAAATATATGTGTTCAAAAAGCACACAAATAAAACTCCTTGGAAATCACCAAGGTGTCTGAAAATATTGGATTTAGCTACAATTAGAAATACAGTAATTCACATATATTTTGATTTCTTAGCCAAGACTTATGATGAGCCAGACTCTTCTATATTTCTTGCAGATGACAACAATTGTAAGCTTCACACCAACCCAGCGGACGTGAGTGAGGCACAAAGAGAGCGAGTGTTTGATCCAAAGTCACACATAAGTGGCAGGATGAGGACGCAAGCCCAGGCACTCTGCCTTTAGACTTTCATCTTGTAAGCATTTTCCAAACAGCCAACCAAGAAAGTGAGAAGTAAATACAGACGGCTTCCGCATGTATACAGAACTGGGGGTTTTTGCCGTTGCCAATCCGAGCCACGCTCTCCCAGGGAGGATTTCGTGATGTGGAGCTCCCTGGAGCACACAGCACTGTGGTGCCACCTGTACAGGTGAGGATCATTTGGCAGAGTGAGGACGCTGTGCTGACAAACTCTCAGAACTGGCGTGCTCACTTCCCCGGGCAGGGCGGAGGCGAGAGAACGGAAGGCAATTCCCCACCACCACCCGACCCAGTGATCTGGGTTCATGAGAGTCTCTCGTGGGATGTGTGTACCTGCTGGCATGGTTTGGGCTATGTCAGCTAGGCCTTAATGTGCATTGTTTTAACTGGACCACCGCGTAGAACTGTATCAATTTTTATTGTATACTGAGGGAAATAGAAGGAAAAATACAGTAAATCTGGCTCCCAGCACTTTCATGCATTTTCCCCCTCGTCATTTCCATCTGAAAAAGATTCTTTTCATTCTCAAGCCTCTGAAGCCTCTCCTGTGGTTATGTGGAGTTTAAGAAACGTGGCAAACGCAGTGACTGATCCTGCTCTTGACTTATACCAAGTCTTTTTCTTAAAAAAAAAAAAAAAAGATTTATTTTTATTGATTTGAAAGTCAGAGTTACAGAGAGAGGGAGGAGAGACAGAGATCTTCCATCTGAAATGGCTGCAGTGTCTAAGACTGGGCCCTGCCAAGCCAGGACCAGGAGCTTCATCCACGTCTCTCCTGTGGGTACAGAGGCCCAAGCTCTTTAGCTATCCTCTGCTGCTTTCCCAGGTGCATTACCAGCGAGCTAAATTGGAAGTGGAACAGCTGGGACTTGAACTGGCATCTTACTCCAAGTCTTGTATCAAGTTTCTCATCTTATCCCACCTTGTCTGCTATTCTTGGTCCTCTGAGACTAAGGCTGTGCTCTGCTTTGTCCAATCTTCCTTTGAAATTCCAAAATTGGAGCAGTCTGGAACCTCAGTCAAACCTGTGCATCCCTGGGGAGCTCCCCAACCCCAGCACTACCTCCTGCAAGCTGCAACAGCCATTCGTTGGCCCTTGCTCTGAGGTTTCCACCAGCTCTACCCTCTGCATAGGTCCTGTCCTCCTAGCACCTGGCAATTCTCAGGCTTCCGCCCCTCTCCAGGAGGGTCTGATCCCCAGACCCTGACCTTTCTACAGCTGTTCTGTTGAGCCTCACTGCCCAAAAAACTCTGAAACCTTGCTTGTGCATTGGAAGCCTTTTACATATGCAGATGCTTGGGTCCTGCCCAGACTAATTAAGTCAACTATATTTGGAGACACTGCTCTATATCACTTTCTGTCCAATGCCAGCAAGCCTACAGGCAGCCTGGGATGTGTTTGAAATGCCAATGTTAATTCAGTCTATCAGGGTGGGGCCTGAGATTTTTGCATTCCTGACAAGATTCCAAGGGATAACTTAACAGTGGTCCATGGATCTTTTCTGTCCCCCACTCCACCCTCCCACCCCTGCCTATCTGAAAGACAGAGAGATGGAGACACAGAGAGATCTTCCATCTTCTGGTTCACCCTTCAAATGCCCCTGGACTAGGCCAAGATTCAATCTCTTGTCTAATATGTATGGTAGGGACACACATACTTGCACCATTACTTGTTGCCTCCCAGGGTGTAAACAGGAAGCTCTAATGAATCAGAAGCAGATTCCTAATGGCTGACCCAAATACTACCCTCCCCACCCCCCCTGCCATCCCGGAAGTTGCGTTTTAAGTGCCAAGGCTCAAGACCAGTGATTTCAAAGTGTGGTCAAAAATAATCTAGAAACTTACCAGATGGGAAACATTTCAGGACCTTCCTCAGACCTCCTGAATCAGCAACTGGGAGGGTATGCTCCAGAAAGCTGTGTTTCTTGAAGTCTTCCAGTGATCAGGGTTCACTGCTGTTTGAGATTCATTGCCTGGGTGGCACTGCCCAATAGAGAGACAGCATAAGCCACATATGTAACTTAAACTTTTCTAGTTGTAACATTTCAAAAAGTAAAAAGAAACAGGTAATATAAATGTTAGCCAAATATCTTACTTGACTCCTTTGTCCAAAATATCACTTCAATATGTAATGAAAATAAAAACATTACTATGATAATTTACATTTTTTTCACACTCAGTCTCCAAAATCCAGTGTGCATTTCATGCTTGCATGACAATTCAGCTTTGTCTAGCCACACTTTACAGACTCAGTAGCCACACGTGCTCATCATACTGGACAGCATAGCTCTAGAATTGTGACAGTGATAATAATATTAATTTCTATCAAATGTTTGCTGTGTGTCAGGCATTACTCAGTTAAGCATTTTATCTGCATAAGCCCGCTGTGCATTGATGCGATTATTTCCATTTTATACCAAGGTGGGGTTATGCCAAAGCCCTTCCAATGCAGGTATTTCCCAGTGATTTTGCATCAGTTTATTTATGGAAGAAAGAATGAAAGCACATATATGTATATAAATCATTAATATTGAATACAATTGTTAAGACTTCAATTGTATTAGATGAAAGTCGTGGCAGTTGAGTAAGTAGAAAAATGAAACTTTACTATCATCTAACTTTTCAAATATGCCTAAAGGTCAACCTGTACTCTTCTGTGACATCAAGTCTGTTGAAAGGTGCTTATGGACAGGCTGTTTGTACCGACAGGGTCCTGGAGGAATAAAGGAGACCTTGGTGAGTGAGTGGGCAGGCTAGGGTTCATCCTAAGTGGAAGCAGCCAGCAAGGTCATCACCTGTTGGTTCAAGTGCAGATTTTGACATAATATAACTGACAGGTAGAAGCGATGCAATAGACTTCCTGTAGGATCGCTGTGGAAAGCAGGCTGCTGGCAATCTAAAAATAATGGCTGACTTAGTGAACAGTTAATCTCATTTGTTTCAAACCACTCATAATTCCTCAAGGAAGGCCTATTTTCAAATGTATTTTCCTGTTTGTTATAAATTATCATAAGAAGGAATACGTAAAAATGATTTAAAAAAAGAAACTGAGGCCAGGTGTTCAATTTTGCCTGCAGAATTGGTGATCAGTATCATGACCAAGTAAAACAAATGTCCTGTTTTAAACTGGAAGGTATTTAACACATATTAAAATGTAACAATTTGAAAGAAATGTACAGAAAAGCTCTTTATTCCACAGTGACTTTTTAAGCCCAGTATATATTTTTAAAACAAGTTTTAAATACCTAATCAGAGTTTTTTGAAATATAAACTTAAGTATTGCATTTTAATCTTAGTTTAATGTAATAGTTTCAATGTAAGGTGTAGTGAGCTGAAGGATTTTGCTATTTTACCTTAGTCCTCAGATTAGTCATGTAACTCTTTTGCTACATGTCATAAAAAATCCTCAGTATTTTATTTAACTAGTTTCAGTGTCTTTCAGGGGTTTTTTTTCTTTTAAGATTTATTTTATTTAAAAGAGTCACAGGGAGAGAAGAAGAGAGAGGGAAATCTTCCATCAGCTGATTCACTCCCCAGATGGTCACAACAGCTAGGACTGATCTGGGCCAGGCTGAAGCAGGTAGCCTGGAGCTTCATCCGGTTCTCCCACGTGGGTAGAGGGGCCCAGGAACTCAGGCCATCCTCTGCCCACTTTCCCAGGCACATTAGCAGGGAGCTGGGTTGGAAGTGGAGCAGCAGGACTGGAATGGGCATCCATATGGGATACCTGCACTGCAGGAGGGGCTTAAGCTGCTATGCCGCAACATAGGCCCCAGCTTCTTGCTTTAATGGGGGAGAAAGAAATGAATTTGATATGAGCATCTAATCCCTCATAGTATTAATTATAAAATGTATCAAGGAGATTTTTATGCTGGACCAAGATTAGGGAATACTTTTCCACTCCTCATGTCAAGCCGTCAGCAGGACTTCCTGACTGAGGGTTCTCTGGTATGGAGAATAAATCCTTTATAAAAATGTGCAAATATTTCCTTGGCAGAGAAACTGATTTTCCTTCATAGTGATGTTGTTTAAAAGGCAATAATGAAACTACAGAAGTAGTTCCGATGTGCATAGAATCCTCTTTCAGACACAGCAGAAAGAGATCTGATGTGGAAAAAAGGCTGAAAAGTGTAGCAAATTCTGTTTTTATTTATTCTCTCTGCATGTGTGTGCTGTGAGCTTCTGATGGCAAGAGCCATTATGTTCTCAGAGTGCATGGGACACAGGAGGCTCAGGAGTGCACACCACACAAATATTTGTTGAATGAATGAATAGATGAATGAATGACTATGACTTCTAAATCTTAGTTGGTAATTCTAGAAGCTACATGAAGACTCAAATCTTGCCAGTCATTGTTGGTAACCTCATCTGAATTATTTCTTCACTGACCTCGGAAGGCAGAAACAGGGGTATCTGCATTGTGTCATTGAATGGTCCCCGGTCTCTGCCAACAGATAAGAAATGTCAACAGCTTAACCCAGTAGCTTTCAAAAATAGCATAGTTGATGAAACTGGAAATTTAGGTGCCAGCTAGAAAGAAACCATTTGTCTTCAGCCTTAAGAAGAATAGACTGACGACAGATAGTCCCATTGGGAGATCAAAAATATTTTTTTTAAAATATCAGAAGAAAACTCTTCGTTCTCAGTAAAGCATAAATAAGAGCCTGGTATTTTCAGCCATTCAGGTAAAGCATTGTGCAAACTTGAAGGCTAAGGCAAGGCAAGGCACTGTGTTCCTTTAAGATTCCAGACTAGTTGGTTTGGTGTTTCCAATCATGCTGGCAGTTTTCCTCAAAATTTAAGGGAATATTTGCACAATGAACCAAGTTGTTGTGGGTTTCCTGGCTGGTGTCCCCCCCCCCCAACACACACCCCCTGCGGGGTGGGGGTGGCGACTCTGGCCAGGCATTTTATCCCATTGCAGACAACTCTGGCTGCTGTTCGTGCTGAAAATAGCTCAAAAGCTCTCTGAACGGTAGCACCACCCAGCAGCTGGGATTCTTTCCCCTCTCTTACTTGCCTTCTCTGCCTTTTTTTTTTTTCCTTCAGACGCTTGGTTTGGACTTAATCTTAAACCTCTGGAGTTCAAGACCTTTTAAAAAGGGCTAAATAAACAATCTCTACATGTAAAAGGCCACTGACTCCTACTTCCTCTGTTGAACGCATCTGTGGAACTCAGCTGCCTGTAGGTAAGGTTTTTATTCTGGAATTATTTAATTGTTTTTCTATCCGCTCATGACCAGTGTTTTCAAAATAACTTAATGATAGTGAAAATAAGGGAGGGATCCGAACGATTTCCAGGTAAATACTGTGTTACAGAGTACAGCAGTAGCATCTGTGCATTTTGTGGCTGTAATTTTAAACTTTGCTTGAAGCTCTCTGTAATATTGACCTGCAATAGACTTGACTTTGACCGAGCGCTGGCTCAGAACTCTAATTAAGCCTCATTGCACAAGATGCAGCCAGAGGGCTTTTCAGACATCATAATTTTGATGTTTAGGCTATGTTCTTGTTTTTAAGGGCATTTAAAAAAAAAGATACAAACACCTGACAAAGAAAATAGATTAGTAATAGTTCTTGAAAGACAAAGAGTTATATTATATGTTCTGTTTTCATCTGTTCACTGCAAGGGTGGAATCAAAACAGTTGTTTTGAGAGGGGAGATTGCTTTTAGTTTTTTTTTTTTTTTTAATTGTTTTGTATATCCTTAGCACAATTTATGTGGCTCAGTTTTGAGAATTTCTTTCTCAAGCCTAATCTTACCTAAGCTAATCTCTTGCTAGGCACATTTGCTGGTGAGTTTGTCTAATGTAACAATAAAATATTTGGGATAGTTTTCCAAGCCTCTCCTCTCTCCCTTCTTTTGCTTGTACTTCACATTTTGCAAAGTACTTTGATCTGTGGACTTTAACTTCAAACATAACGTTTACTTTGATTGTGGGTATTTACTATGTTCAGTTAAAAGCCTTTTTTTTTTTCCCTCTTTCTCAGTTTCATGCTTTGATAGCCTTTCTTTTAAATAATTTACTGGGGCTTTGGTCTTTCTCACTGATGAGCCTTAGATTTTACTTCTGTGGGGACCCTTAACCAAGAGAAAAGGGCTTGCTGGCAAGACTTCTCGCCACTTAGACACTGACAACTCACTGCTCTGCTCCAAGCAGATGTGTGAAAGCAGGCAGCAAGTGACGGCACAGAACCCAGGCTGATTCTGTCAACTTGCATGTCCTGCTTCTCAGAACTACCATGTGCTTTGCTGCTGTTTTTTTTTTTTTTTTAACATAAACACTGAAATCCCTGAAGCTTAAAGGTTTTTCTTTTCTAAAGGAGTTCATTGCTGTCACAAACCACATGTCCAAAGAACATGCATTTTAAATGCATAGTGATTTTTGTGTAACCAAAATCTTTTTTAAAAAAGGAAAAAGAAAGCAAAGGAAAATTAAAAAAAAAAAAAAACTAGCAAACCTCAGTAGCCAAAAGTGTGCTCTACTAGTGGAACTTCTGTGTGAGGGATAAAGAATGAAAAAAAAAAAACCCAAAAAACCGAATTTCCTAAAATGGGCAAATTATAGCACTTACTAGTCATTCGATCCACTTGGAACTGTTCTCTTATTTTAAGGACAGTTCATGTGTGTTTTACATTTGTTTTCTTTCCTGCCTCAAGCACAGGGTCCTTTCAAAGCCCTCAGTGTGATACTGAAGCGAATGTTGCCCAGTGAAAGTGTGTTCCCCGTGAGCTCTGCTGAAGGTTAGGAATAGGATTTATCTAATGCTGTCGAGAGACCGTTGAAGTGCCAGTCAAGGACAGTGGCTCCACAGAGCTGTCACAGTCTGGGTCCCATATCCTGCACCTTGCTAGGACAACAGGAAGCAAGTGGCCGGCTGCAGCACAAGACTTTGAAAGGGTGGGAACGACGGTGAATGCCATGGAAGAGATTCCTTCTGGGTTAGGGGCTCCTGCAATATGATCTCTGGGCTTCTCATTAGCATGAAAAAATCCAAGCAGGCATTTGCAGTAGCAGTTAAGACCTCTCTTGAGATGCTCCTACCCCCCATCAGGGTGCCTCAGTTGGAGTCCCAGCTCCTCCTTTGATTCAAGCTTCCTGCCAAGGTGCACCCTGGGAGGCAGCAGTCCGTGGCTCTAGTAGTTGGCTCCCTGCTGTGATTGTGGTAGACCTGGATGGAGTTCCTGGCTCTTAGTTTCAGCCTGGTCCAACTCCAGCTGTGGTGGGCATTAGGGGAGTGAACCAGCAGAAGGGAAATCTCTATTTCTTTCCGCGTCTGTCTCTTCAACTAAATTAAATATAAATTTTTAAATGTTTGGAAAACATTTTTATGAATTTTTTTTTATTTCTAAAACTTGGCACTTAATGGCTACTTTCCCCCCTTCAAATATGCACTGGAAAGAGCATATTAATCATCACATTTTCTGTGTATAATCACCATTATAAATCCTTCAGTTATGTTAGGTATGTGCTTTGGGCATATAGAAAGCTCCGTCAGTCCTGGGAACCCCTGGCTCAGCAGTGTGCGGTGTGAATGCAGTGTTGAAGGCACTGCAAGTTCCATTGCCAAATCAAATGGCACAAGGATGGTAGACGGCCACTCCACTGCTCTTTCTTCTCCTGTTTTGTTGCTGTTTTCTTTTCTCTGATACGTGTCACCCCTTTAATTTTAACTCTGAAACTTTGGGTTGTTTGGATGTGAAACTCAAGGGGAAACCCAGCCAAAGCCTCTGAGTTTCACACCGGTCCCACATGAAAGAAGTATTCTACCCAGCCTTGCTCGAAACTTGGCCCATGTTTGCCAAAAGTTTCATGAATGTCAGTGAGCCCGGATTTGAAACATAATCCAAAGCCAGGTGACTTCTGGTGACTTTGAGGCTTCATTGTATAAGTATAGAAGCTGTCAAACAAGGACATTCCTTATTTCCATATCTTTTTACAGTAATTTCATGTGGACACACTTTTTTTTTTCCTCCAATAAACTCCCATTTGTTCCATGATAGTTTAAGTCCAAGTTCAATCCTAATATGAGTTTTTATAGCTGTGGTATTTAAGCATTGGCAAATAGATGTCTGCATTTTACATTCCAACACAGTCTGAACCACCGTGGTGTGAACATGCTGGCATAATTCAGCTGAAAGAAGGAAGTCCCAGGAGACCCACGGAATGTCTTTCTGTGCTTAAATATGCCCCTGTGCTCATAAAGAACAAACAGCAGCATTTTGTCCAGGTCTATCTACTTGACACTGTGCCTTTTGTTCACTCTCCAAAGGTGGTGTTAAATATACTGGTGGAAAAATAATAAACTTCTAGATTTTTTTTTTTGCCTGTTTTACTGACATACTCCCAGGGAACATTGTAACCATTGCAAAGTTCAGTACTATTACTTGTAATGTAGTGTATACCGAGAATAAATGAGTACTCAGTAGACTCAATTATCCTCAAAATCTGGGCAGCCTAGAGCTGACGTGTGTGTTAACAGTCAGATGGGATGTTGTTGTGAAATGGTGTGTGTGTGTGTGTAGTGTGTATGCGTATGTTGGTGGGGGTAGGGACAGGTGGAGAGGAAGAGAGGAGAAGAGAGGATTTGTAAGCTTTTTCAGCAAATCTGTCACATCAAACAAAAATAATCAAGTCGAGGATCTGAAAACATTCTTTTCTCTTGTTGATCATATAAATTTGTGTTGGCCGCACATTGCATTTTTTGGTATTATTTTTCTCATTAAAGACTCCCAAGTATTAGGATTCCAGACATAGTAAATAATATCCAATGAAAATATGACCAATTGGGAGAGACCTAGATAGTTGTAGATGAACTTGCATGAGTCAGTCTCTGAAGGAGCTTCGTCGTCTTCTGGCTGCTGTAAGATGCTAAGTCACCCAGGAAGCTTAGAGTTGATTTGCTATTTTCTTAGTGGGAAGGTTTCTAAACTCTCTTGAAGAATTGTTGTAAAAATGAATTTGTTACTTCACTAACGCCTTAAACAGACTAAACTTAGTAAGATTTGTAGTCTACACTTATTAGAAAATTAAACTGCTATCAGATTTCATGTTGAAAATTTTATAGTCACTATTCTATTTAATACTATGCACTTTTATTTAAGATACAGTTTTAATTTAGCAAAATGATGATAGTTGATCCAGTTATTGGATAAAGCATTTGAAAACTAGCAGTAACAAAACCTGGAGTTCCTATTTGTAGGAGCTGTAATTTGGCACCAACTTCACTATTCAAAGAGCAGCATTTATTGGTATATCTGAATTGATGTCCCCAAAGTAAGTATAATCAGCAGAGAAAGGGCAGACGCTTAAATGGAGGTTCTGGAGAATGTAAGCAAAAAACAATTCAGAACCTCCTACAAAGAGATTCTCTCAGACCACAAGTTTATTTGTATTCCAGTGTGACTTATTGCAGTTATTAAGTTCAACTTTCCTGTTTTGAACACAAAAATATTCTTTTACTTTAAACACAAACTATTTTAGGTCAGAAACAAAATATCCATTGTAATATTTTTGTTTTTTTCATTTTTTAAATTTTATTTAAGTTTTTCAAGTTTCATGTATTTCATATATACAGATTTAGGAACATAGTGATACTTGCCACCCACTCACACTCCAACCCGTCTTCCTCTTCCATCTCCCATTCCCACTCCTAATTTTTACAAAGATCAATTTTCAGTTTACTTAATAATCATACAGTTAACCCTACCCTATGTAAAAAGTTCAACACATAGTATGGAAAAAAAAAAAAAAACCATTGTTCCTCAACAGAAGAGACAAGGCCTATAAACAAACATCAAATCTTAAAGTGTTCATTTCATTCCAAAGCATTATATTTTAGTTACTCTATTAGTTAACTTGGATCACCCAGTATTTTCTTTTAGAACAATTTTAAATTGACAAAAGAATTGTGAAGATAGGACAAGAGTTCTCATGTATCCCCCACAAAGTTTCCCCTATAATTAATATCATACATAGCATATAGTGCCTTTGTTAAAATTAATGGGCCAGTATCTACAAATTGTTATTAAAGTCATAATGAACAGTCATATTTCCCTGATTGTCACCTAATGCCCGTCTTGTGTTCCAGGGTTCTATCTGGAATACCATGTCACATTTAGTCAATTATATCTCCTAAGGCTCCCCTTAGCAGTGACAATTTCCTTTCCTTTTTTTCTTTTCCTTTA